TGAGGTATGCCTGTATAGACTATACATAAATCTATGTTAATTGGTGGTAAATACATGGTCCTTTATTACCTAACTAGTGTTTTCTCAAATGGTGGCCCTGTGACCTAAAGTATTCGCAAATCTTTCAAGGTTCCATGGAGGTCAAACTATCTTATAATACTACTGGTATATTTTGCCTGTTTCCATGCTCTCATGAGAGTACAATGAATAGAGGTTTTTACAGAAGCTGTATGAACGCAATGACATCATTACTGACCTTCATGACTGTGGGCTTATCTTCTGAGTTTCAAATTTTCTCAATTTAATTGTCTAATGTGATGACATCGACAGGAGATGACCCATATGAACAAAAGCTTGATTAAGCGTCATTCAACTAATTTTTTTTCTGAGGACAGAGTCCCACTCTGTTGCTTGGCTAGAGTGCGTGGTTCATCGTGCTCACAGCACCTCAAACTCCTGGGCTCGGGATTCTCTGTTCAGCCTCCTAAGAGTGGTGTGCACCCACTACATCCAAGCTATTTTTCTTTTTCAGTAGAGATGAATCTCTTTCTTGCTCAGGCTAGGTCTCAAATCCTGAGCTCAAGCTGATTCCTCCTGCCTCGGTCTCCAGAGTGCTAGGATTACAGGCGTGAGCACTGCTCTGGCCAATAATTTTTAAGAGCCTAATGGATCCTGAGACCCAAAGGTCTGAGAACGCTGCGTCTAAAACCAAAGTGTAATGATTAATACAGTGCTGTGTATATCTCAAAAGCTTATTAAGATTTTTGCCATGGCTTCCTCATTATTTCTACTTGAACCTTAAGGTCTTGGTTTCAACTTTAATTCTAATCAAAGAGAAAAAGACATTAAGGGCATACTTTCTTTCTATATCCACAATGGTAAGTATGTGGGACTAGAGAAAGTGCTGACATATTTTTTGTATGACTACTTTATTCTGAATACTGTTAAAGTTTGAAAAGTCAACAATAATACCTTTTATTCCTAATGTGAGTTTGGATCAGTGGAGAGGTAGATGGAGATAAACATGCCGGCTTTATTCTTGAAAAACAAACTGTATTGGAGGAATTGCTCGACAGCAGCCAAATGGTGAACTCAGCCCTGAGAAGAATTGTCCCTATCCCCAACCAAACCTCAGTCCTGTGTCACTAGACTGAGAACAGATGAAGAGAGAACCCGCTGGGAGGCCAGCAGATGCAAAGAATCCTTCAGCTGCAAAATGAGGAGATGGGATATTACCTATAAAAATTTAATGTACTTATTAGTCTGTTGGCCTCATCAAACGTGCATTGAATCCAGTGCTAAACATCATTCACTATAAAGTAAGTCTTCTTTATATGAGACAGCACTTATAAGCAGTTGTGCTCAAACATAAAAAACAAAGAAGCATAGGATGGCCCTCTTCTGTCCTCTGAATGTTGAGAAACACCAAATCTCAATATTCTCTAGGTGATCTCAGTCTAGACAACTGGCAGGACTTCAAATGTCATCTTGTTTGACGACTCCCGCATTTCTATTTCTGGCTCTGACCTCTCTGCTGAGTTCAGACATGTCTGTCAGATTGCCCGCTCTTCGTGATGTTTATCTCACATTTCCCACTGCAGAAAATAATTCCTATTCCATCCCAAACACACACACAACGCCCCCCCTTGCCACCCATCTTCCTTCGCCTCAGAGAATGGTCAAAGATCTAGGAGCACCTTTGACTCCTCTCTGTCCCTCACGTCCCACATCCCTTCTGTCAGCAGGTCCTGTCAACGCCTTCTTCAGAATCAACCTGGAGTCACACACCCTGGTCCACCCAGGTCCCCTCTCTCCGGAAGTACAGCAGGGCCTCCAACCGACCCCAGCTCCCTCTCTTGCTCCCCTACATTACTTCTCACAACAGCTGAGTCATTTTAAGAATCATACATAGATACCACTCTTGCTCAAAACGTGGTCTGTGAACTTCTAGGTTATTCTTACTTTTCACCTCACTCGGTCTCTATGTCTGAGCCCTTGCTTGTTTTCAGTTCCTCCATTCTTCCAGCCTCGTCCAGTATGTTTCTATTGTTCCTGGCTTCTTTGCTTACCTCGAGACTTGGCAATGCTGTTCATCGCCGGACTCTCTCTGTGTCTGTCTAGATGTCTTTAATCATCATGATGTCTATTACTTGTCTCCTGTGAAGCAATATGGAGATACTTCAAAGCAATACAAGTGGATTCTACCATTTGGATCCAGCAATCCATTACTGGACCTACCCAAAAGAACAAAAGTCACTCTATGAAAAGACACCTGCATCGAAGTTTATAGCAGCACAAATTCACAATTGCAAAAATGTAGAAACAACCAAATGCCCATCAATACATGAGTGATTAATAAAATGTGTATATGTATACCATGGAGTACTATTCAGCCTATACGAAAAAATGGTGATATGGCACCTCTTGTATATTCCCTGGGTAGAGCTGGAACCCATTCTATTAAGTAAAGTTATCCCAAGAATGGAAAAATAAGCACACATGTACTCAGCAGCAAATTGGTATTAACTGATCCAACACCTAAGTGGACATATAGCAATAACATCTATCGGGTGTTGGGGCAGGTTGGGCAGGGAGGAATGGGGTATATACATACATAATAAGTGTGATGTGCACCAACTGGGGGATGGAACGGCTTGAAGCTTTGACTCGAGGGGGGAAGGGGGCAAGGGAAATATATGTAACCTTAACATCTGTACCCCATAATACGCTGGACAATAAAAAAATTTATAAATTTGCAACCAAAACAAAAATAAAACATTCCTAGATTTAGGATAAAAAAAAATCAACTCATCAGGAAACCACCCTATCTGTACAGCCCTTTCCAGCCTCTACAACACCTTGCCTTCTTTTCCCTGTGTAGTGTTTATCATTCCGTAGGAGCCCTACGCTCCTGGAAAGCAGAGGGATGGTCTCTGATTCTTCCTTGCTTTATCCTCAGCCCTGGAACACTGGCTGGCACAAATTAGGCACTCTGAAATATCTGTTGGCTGCTTGAACAGATATTGGGACATAGAGTATACTTTTCCAGAAGCAGTGGTGGATCTTACCTCATTCCTCTTGAGACCAGTAGCCGTGCCCTTGGGTGATGGTGCTCAAACTTAGTTTCCCACAGCAACCTTGGATGCTCTAGAATCATCTTTAGAAATGGAAGAGGATAATAGTAAGGTGCATTTTGCTGGACACATACAATAAGAATTAGGAAGGCATTCTGCTCTTTTCCTTTGCCACACCCTATGTGAGAGGAAGAAACACTCATCTATCTTCATTTGTTCAACAGATATTTATGGGTGCCTACTTTATTTCAAGTGCTGTTTATGTGTTTGTCAATACAGCGCTGAATAAAACCCCTGCCTCAAAAGCTTAGATTTTATAGGGTAGAACCAGATCAAGTTAAAAGATAGACATGTATGTCAGAGAGTGATAAGAGGATAGGTGCTATAGGGAAACAGAAAGCAGTGGGGTGGGGGTGGAAGGCTGGGTGGGGTGTCCTCTGCCCTGGGGGTGTGTAGTATCTCATTTTATCATAGGCCACAAAGAATCATATTTTAAATTTCATGCTCTTTTACATTGCTGCTCTTTTAAGTTATAATTTTCTGAAAGGTAGCCACAATATCTGCTTTATTTGCTTTAGACAGTGCCTATTACAATGACTTCCCAATGTGCAGTTTAATAAGTGCCTCTGATGGCTCGTCACATCTGTGTATCCATGCCTACCAAATTCAGAGAACTGGCACTCAAACTTTAGAAGTTTGGGAGCAGTAGCGATTATTATGTGATTATTAACAAACTATGATTATGTATGATTACAATATGAATTTTGCTAGTTGATGTTTAATTAATTATGTATTTTTTATAAAGCAGTTTATGTAAGAATGTAAAAGACAGAAGAATGACAAAGTAGGGGATCACAACTCTAATTTTTTCTATTTGGGTATAAGACTGAATGGTATAGAATTGCCTTCCTAATTAGTGTAAAATGGAAAGAAAAAGACCTAGCATTTTTCTCCCTAAACAGGAATAAATGGTTGAATGCTGTTATAACTCAGTTTTATGTTTGTATTTAGTTGAGTTGATGAAAATTTTGAGTTTCTGGCATAATGCCTTGTGCAAAGTAGGTAGAGGTTGAGCATCCCTCCAAAAATCTGAAATTTGAAATGCTTCAAAATCTGAAACTTCTTGAGTATAAACATGATGCCACAAATGGAAAATTCCACATACAAGTACTTAACATAAACTTTGTTTCATGCACAAAATTATTAAAAATACTTTATAAAATTATCTTCAAGCTATGCATATAAGGTATATCTGAAAATGAATAATGAACAAATGAATTTCATGTTTAGACTTGGGTCTCATCATCAAGATATCTCATTATGTATTTGTAAATATTTCAAAATTCAAAATACTTCTGGTCCCAAGCATTTTGGATAAGGGATAATCAACTTGTGTTGAATAAATGAATTTGTTCAGCCAGATATGCTTTTTGTTAAGTAAAATGTGTTTGTTCTAGAAAGTTAGAAAACACAGAAAATTATAAACAAGAAAATAAGTCATCTACCACCCAAAGGTTACCACTACTGTAGTAGCTAAGAGCATAAACTCTAATAGACCTTAGCCGGGCAACTTACTAGCTGTTTAGGATCCCTTCTTGTCTATAAAAAAGGGAATGCTAATAATAGTACCTAAGTTACTATAGTTACTCTATGACCTAAGTCATAGAGTTATTTTGAAGATTAAATGAGCAATTCCATGAAAATCTTAGAGCAATGCCTTGCCACAGAAAACACTAAATAAATATGTCCTTCTAGACTTTTCTATATTCATATAAATAGGATTAGCCTGAACACATTATTTCATAACTGGGGGAGCGCATTAGTTATTTTTATCAATTCATTTTTTGCTGGTTTATCTACAGTCTCGAAGGATCTGCTTCCTATGAGTGTTATGTTTGATTTAGTGTCTGCTTTGTTCTGTTTCAGGTACGGAATGAGCCCCAGAATATTTCCATTTCAGCAGAATATATTGCCCAGGTGAAAGGGATCTCAGTGGAAGAAGTCATAGAAGTGACCACACAGAATGCATTAAAACTGTTTCCCAAGCTTCGACACATGCTCCAGAAATAGCTTCATAACCAATTATTGCAAACCGAATCAACTGCAGGGGTCACTATTTGAAACAAAAGAAATGTTCTGATGAAGAATCTGAACTGAGGAAGCCGACTTATAGGGATATAGAAGATTATAATTTTAGAGAAATATTTCTCTTAGAAGTAAAACTGGGCTTAGATGCTGAAACTCTGGGTTCAGATACTAGCCTTGTGCTGTGTTTCAATTAGCTTAGTCTTGGCAGAATACTGGGAAAATATTGCTACTTCTTACATTGTCACATTAAATAGAACCACCATCTGAACTGAAACCATTGCTGCTGGGAAGGGTGGCTCCCACAGGTAAGACCAAGTACTGCTGTGATGAGGATGGAGCAGACTAAAGTTTGATCTTTCACCACCTGTTTTACTTCTCATAGGATTTAACTAGTGAAGGTAGGAGTATCTGGTTTCTTACACTATCAGAAATCTTCTCTTTTCTAGGTTTGTAAAATCGAACAATTTGGTACTTGTAATTATTTCTCTTTAAGGGAAAAATGCATATAAAGTTTTCACACTGATCTTAGATATTGACTTATAAGGCCAGTAGTTTGAACAGCCAGTACTATTATAAATACCAAGCCCAAAAGTTTAGTTAATAAACTGATTTTAAGTTCCAGTCTGAATTTTGTCCCATGTTTAAAATGTAAATGGCTTCATTAAAAATGTCTCTGATACTTTTTGTATGCAGTAATATTTTATATTTTTAAGTTTAAAAATCTTAGGCATAAGCCAGGCACAGTGGTACACACGTGTAGTCCCAGCTACTTGAGAGGCTGAGGCAGGAAGAGCCCTTGAGCCCAGGAGTGCAGCCTAGGCAACATAATGAGATGCAAGACCCTATCTCTAAAGAAACAAAATAAATAAAAATCTAAAAATACTGGGTGTAAAAATAGTTCTGTGGATAGATGGTGTTGATGGTAGCACAACAATATGAATGTACTTAATGCCACTGAACTGTATGCTTGATAAAGGTGATAAATTTTATGTTATGTGCATTTTACCTTTACCCATCAGCATCAATGTAAGATGAAATTCTTACATTTAACAGAAGGTTATATTAAAACTAGACTTTTGAGCTCTCTTTCAGTTCTGTATCTCTATTCCCTATTTCCTACCTCCTTCTGCACACATTCCCTTTGTCAAACTCTCAATCCTTAAATCCTTAAATCTTTAAATCCTTTGAGGTTCTTCTTAAATTACTTCACCTTGCCTGATCGGCCCATCCAGACATGACCCCTGTCCTCTAGATTATATAGCCATTTTCTTCATTTATTTACCCATGCATTTGTTTCAGTTATTCCGTAGCAGTTATTGAGCCCTTCCTTTAGTTTGTTCAGTACAAAGAAGAAGATGATATGGGCTTTGCCATCAGTTCAGAGTTTAATAAAAGAGATAACCAAATGGACCAATAATTTCAAAGCCGTGTGAGAAGTGTTACAACAATGATTTGAAGCATCTCTAACTTTATGAGGCAGAGGCCATCTTCCACTCTACAGTCTGAAAATGCCAAATATTAATGCTTGCTTTCTCAGCTTTTCTTACTATAGCGGACACGTGACTTGAGTTCTACCAATCAGAGGGACCCACCCCAGATATTGAATCTGAAGCCAAGATTGTAAAGAGACCAGCTGTGTGGACTTTGTGCTGGTGTGGTGGGAAGCGGCAGCTGCTCCCATTTTCAGAGGCGGTGGCGGTGTCCTTCCTGGCAGTATGCAGTGTCCCAAGGCAGTGAGTCTTCTTGGACCAGCCTTGTGGCTTGATTTGGGGCACTTGATCTAGCTTTGTAAACCACAAACCTGGTTCTTTGGCCTTGGAGAACATATGAGTTACTCAATATATTGAATACATTTCTTTCTGCTTAAATTAGTCAAAGTTGGTTTCTGTTTCTTGAAACTAAGAACTCTGATAACAGTTTTGGCAAATAATCAGTCCATAACACTCTACCATCTCCAAGTCCAAAATTTACCCTCCTCTCTTTCACTTCCACCTTTTGCGTGTATTTTGAGACTTCTTTCCCTTTTTGCCACTTTGGAATTTATTTTGGACCAAATTCTGAGATATTAAAATGTCAGGGGCCAGGTGCGGTGGCTCACACCTGTAATCCTAGCACTCTGGGAGGCCGAAGTCGGAGGATCGCTTGAGGTCAGGAGTTTGAGACCAGCCTGAGCAAGAGTGAAACCCTGTCTCTACTAAAAATAGAAAAAATTAGCTGAGCAACTAAAAATATAAAAAATTAGCTGGGAATGGTGGTACGTGCCTGTCAGCTACTCAGGAGGCTGAGGCAGGAGGATAGCTTGAGTCCAGAAGTTCGAGGTTGCTGTGAGCTAGGCTGACTCCACGGTACTCTATCCCAAGCAACAGAGTGAGACTCTGTCTCAAAAAATAAAATAAAATACAATAAAATAAAATAATAAAATAAAATAAAATGGGATAGGGAAGGTGACTTTTCCAGGAATTGCTTAAGTTCAACCCTAGAGCTGGTCTGGAGTCATTAGCCTTTAGGAGTGGTTATGCCTTGCAATTCATCAGTAACCACAATTCATTGCCTATTTAATAGTCTTTTCATTATAAAAGGCCTCATTTTGGGACCTCAGGAAAAAAGTCAGGAATTAATTTGATCAGAAAGAGTACACCCTTTGGAATCAGACAAAAGGATCAAGCCTGTGAAATTGTATTCCCCAAACCCACACAAAACAAGTTCCAAGGGAAATTCTCACCAATCCCCAACGTTCACAAGAGATCTCCCTTTACCCCATTTCTTAAGGTTCCTCTCTGGATTTGGGGTGTGTCTCATTACTACCCCCGCTACTACAACAAAACTCACCAATACAATACTGTCACCAAATGAATTTACTGGACTGATGAGCATGTATTACCTGGGAAAGCCCATTTTAACAGGGGTCTTCTGAAATCAGTAGCTTCCTATAGAGGGACTCCACATGCAAATACCATTTGAATCTGCTTCTCCTTTCTTATCTTGGGTCCAACTGGAAGCATTAATTATTAATATAAGTTGAGAAGTCTAAAAACTATCATCGACATATCTAAAATTTTTAATGAAATAGATGGCAAATGTCTTACAATTCCTCAATAGTGCCAGTCAGCCTTGCTCTTTACTGGATTTCTCTGAAGATTACCTAGACGTCCCTGTGGATTTCCTAAGCCACCTGCTAGAGCTGAGGATAACCTGTTTCGTGCAAGGGCCCCTCTACTCCTACCCAGTCCTAAAGGCCGGAACCCACCACTGCAGTGGAATTCAGAGAGTGGGAAACTGGGAACCACGGGTGTTGGCCTGGATCCCCCAGATGACAGAGAATCCCAGTAAGGTCAAGGATTACTTTGGAGGGCAGCTTCTCTGATGGTTTAGTTTACGTGGCAACTTGCCTAGGCCACAGTACCCAGATATTGGGTTAAATGTTATTACAGATGTTTATCTGATGGAATGTTTTAAACTATTAATAACAGTTAAATCAGTAGACTATGAAGCAGATTACCCTCCATAAAGCGGATGGGCCTCATTCAATCGGTTGAAGGCCTTAACAGAAAAAAGATTGACCTCCCCAAGCAAGAAGAAATCCTGCCATCAGACTGCCTTTGGACTATGTAGGAATCTGGGCCAGAGAAGGAAGAAACTGTCTCTGTCCCCTTGTGTTACTGAGGGAAACACACTCCAACAGATAGGACACACTCCTGGGAGAGGTTGGAGACTCTGAGTGGACTTACTGCCATTTCAGGTAGGGTTAGAGTCCAAAATATATATTGTTTCATGACTTTTGAGTTTGTGGTTTTAGCACAAGGCTGTTGTAGGGTATATAGAGGAGGACAAAATAGAAATTCCTAACCAAGTGGAGGAAGGGGGTCGGGGAAGGCTTCCAGAGGAGGTGGTATTTAAATTAAATCTTGCACAAATTCAAGTTCGGCAAAAGGGAGGTGACAGAATAAGACAAGTGCAGGGAGTCACAAGTAGTTGCATATACCCAGAGGTGCATGGAGGAGGAGGTAGGACAGGGTTAGAGAGGAATGAGGTGAGGGAGGTTAACTGTACTGTATATAACCTGACACTCATTTACTATGATCCACTATGACTCAGCG